ACGGTGTTGATCTGCAGTTTACCTCTCTAAGGTACTTTCCTGTGATATCCACTCTGTGAGACCTAGAATTCTCTTTTGAGGAGTTCCATCCTACGTGATGAAGATATGCTATCCTTGAGCCAAGATCTATGATCTTGATGTTATTCTGATCCTCTAGTTATTCTAGAGAAGACCTACTGTAAACATGTTATCATTATTATTGATAGTGGAAGTTTGAGGTGGACTGCGGTCCCGTGGTTTTTCCCACATTGGGTTTTTCACGTTAAAAAGATCTGGTCTCACTATGTGATTGATTTATTGCTCTGTTGTTTATGCTATGCTGATTGATTTAGCATTTTGATATCAAGTTGGCATTTTGATGAGGAACCTATTTTGATACACAAAGAGAGAAAAGAATTATTCCGCATTAACAGGTTTCTTCCAAACAGAAAGGAGCGGGTGACGACGATTGCACTCTCCAAGTGGGAGTATTCAATGGATATTGAAGTATACATACTCCTATAAGTCGAGTGTATGAGCGCATTGTATTAGAACGATCTTTGTTATATGTATCGGTTAGACGGCACGTGTGATTGACTAAAGATTACGTAGCGGTCCCCAGCATTCTGCATATGCAGAGGTGATCCGCTGAGTACTGAGTGCTATCTGCAACATCTTTGCGGCAACGTCCACGACGCAATTGCTCTGGTCGTGGAAGTAAGCCCAATTTCAAACGTTCGCACGACGCAACCTAAATCCGACCCCTACCCCTTCCCTTCCCCCATCCCCCTTGCCCCGCGCCCACGTCCGCTCCTACACCCCAACTCTCCGCGCCCCAAATTAATTTTAATTCAATCAACCAGACGCCTTCAGTTCAGCATGAATGAATGATATGAATGAATGTGCATGAAGCTGTCCTTCCCCATCCCATGCTTACCCGACTCTCTCCGCCTCTATTTCTCTGTTTCGGTTGATCAAAGCCCTCATCGCCTTTAAAACCACCTTATAAATTCCATCAACGTTTCGAACCGAAAGCTCCAACAAAACATCAAATGACACCACGACGACTCCACCACCACCTCTCCCTTCTTCTCGCTCCGCTCTTACTCCTCCCCCTCTTCGCCGCCACCTCTCCTCTCCCCTTGCTTCCCTCTCCCAACCCCGACCTTGGCCCCCTCCTCGCCTTCAAGCTCTCCCTCTCCCGCCACACCCCCGCCGCCCTCTCCTCGTGGGACCCTGCCGCTGACCCTTGCGCCTCCTGGCGCGGAGTTTCCTGTCGCGGCGGCCGCGTCGCCCGCCTCGTCCTCGTGGGCCTCCGCCTCGACGGTCCCATCCACCATCTCGCCGGCCTCCCCCGCCTCGCCCTTCTCAGCCTGAACAACAACTCTTTCTCCTCTCCCCTCCACCGCCTCGACCTCTCCCTCTCCCCCTGGCGCTCCCACCTCAAGCACCTCCACCTATCCCACAACCGCTTCTCCGGCCCCTTCCCTGTCTCTTTTCTCCGCCTCCGCCGTCTCCGCCGCCTCGACCTCGCAGGGAACCTCATCTCCGGCACCATTCCTCCGGAGATCGGCCTCCTACTCCGCCGCCTCCTGACCCTACGCCTCGAGGAGAACGAGCTCGATGGAGCCATCCCGGTCTCGGTGGGCTCCATTCCGGGGCTCACCGACCTCAACGTCTCTCACAACCGTTTGGTGGGCGAGATCCCCCGCCAGCTCTCCTCCTTCCCCCTGTCGTCCTTCGCCGCGAACCCGGGTCTTTGCGGGGGCTCTCTGCTACGGAGGTGCCTGAAAAACTGGACAGCGAGCTGCGATCGGAGGCCGCCGCCGATGGTGAACGGGCGGAAGATCAGGAAATGGGTGGCAGCAATAGCGGGGGCGATGTCCGCCACTATCGCGGCTGCGGCCGCCGTCGCGATGGTCGCCCTCTTGTGCCTCAAGCGGAGGGCAAAGAATAGAGAAGTGGAAGTTGCGGAGAAAGGGAGAAAAGAGGGGGAGGAGGCGGAAGAGGCGGAGGAGGGAGGGAGGATGGAGTTGTTTGAGGGTTGCGGGCGGTTTGCATTGGAGGACCTGATGAGGGGGTCGGCAGAGATGTTGGGAAGGGGGGCTGTGGGTTCCACGTATCGTGTGGTGATGGAGGGGGGACAAGCAGCGGAGGTGGAGGCGGCGGTGGTGGTGAAGAGGGTGAGGAGGAGGGTGAAGGAGAAGAGTGGGAAGGAGGAGGAAGAGTTACTTGGGGAGATAGGCGGGTGGCGACACCCCAATGTAGTGAGCTTGAGAGCGTACCATGACTCGTCTACCGGGGAGGAGCTGCTGCTGGTGTACGATTACCTCCCTAGCGGCAGCCTTTCGAACCTCTTACATGGTCCGTTCCCTCTGCTTGTTTCTTAGTTGTGGTTTAACCCCGTCAACATCTCACTCCAGTCCAAATCCCGATCCTTTTATGGATCCATAACGATCCGAA